TGAACCCATAAAATAGGTAGGCAGAAAGAGTGCCCAAAACAGAGCAGTAAAAATAGAATGTAACTGTTGATGAATGTGGAAAACTATATATAAAGTCCCTAATAATCCAAGTATACCTTAATTTGGAATACTGCAACAAACCACTAGCTGTCATGTGCTTTCCTGAAATTATAATACACTCATGGAGGAAAATCTTTCCTGCAATTATAATCCAATCATGGAGGAAAACCTTAAGAAAAAAGTATCTCTATTTTTACAAGAAAAATACTTAGAAAAAATAAAAGCAAGCACTTTCCCATACAGTGAAACAAAAATTTAAAATCAGCTAAGTAACTAAGATAATGAACAAGCTATAATTTAGATTGACTATCAAAACTTCCTGTTTTGTTTTCAATTTCCATTAACCAACTTGGTTCCTATGGTCTCAGGGTATGATGGCAACAATGCCATTAATCCTCCCTTTGCATTTAACAACTGTAGTAAGGATTAACATTCTGCTTATGAGGCAGGTTAGTCTGAAGATACCCATTTTTAAAGATAACTGTTCAGCCCTTTACTGCTTATATAGTAATATATCATGCATTTTTGTTTTATGTTGCATTTTGTTACTGCCACTGATTATCTAGGTTCTTTAATGATTAACAAGGAAATCCCTTATTTATTCAAATATTATTTGTGTGCCAATACAATGGCGATCTACTTTCTGACACTATTAGTTGAGAGATCTAGAACTGACCCAGGATTCCTCTGAGAGTAGCTTTACTATAAAAATGGCTTACTCCTTTGTTGCATAGATAATACAATCTAACCGAACGGATCCCATATTCCCATCCTGCTATGGCTATTTTTTAATCTTCTGAACCCATGATTCTCTGAGTTGTATATATTTTTATTATTGCCTCTTTATTTTTAACAATACTGGAGTTTAAAATTCAGGGCCTTTAGTTGTTGGATAGATACTATATCAGTTCAGTCACATGAGCAGTCATTTTTTGCTTTTAGTTATTTTTCAGATAGGGTTTCATGTTTTCATCCTCAGCAGGCTTTGGACCATTGTCTTCTAATCAATGCCTCCTGCTTAGCAGAGTGAAACATCATACCTGGGTTATTTTATTGAGGTGTGGTCTCACTAACGTTTTTCCTAGCTTTATTTTCAGTCGCTGGACTAATTTAGGAGCTGGGATTATGAATACATCCTCATGCCAGGCTTGTTGGTTAAGATGGGGCCTTACCCTTAACTACCCTTGAATTATGAGCCTCTAGTGGCCAGGATTACAGGTGTTCCTTAGCACATCTAGCTCTATTTTCATCTTAAATAAAAAATATTATCTGTCCATTCTGAAGCTTGAACTTAAGTTAAAATATATTAATATATAAATATATAGTATATATAATATATGTAACATATAATAAAATATATATAATGTGTTACATATTATAATATTATATACTATATAAACATCATATAGTATATAATATATATTATATATACTATATAACTATAATAAATAGTATATATAATATATAGTATATGTAATATAAATATATATAATATATGCTATATATACATAATATATATACTATATTACATAATATATATTATGTAATATATACTATATTATAATAATATAGTATATATTACATAATACATCCTAGATATTATCTATTACATATATTATATAATATATTAAAACTTAATATAAAATAGTAAGCTTATTATATGTATTATCTATTACATAATATATAATTTTATATGCTATATAAAATTCTTATTTTGTATGTTATATATTATGTAAAATTATTCTTACTTCTAACAAAATAAGTTATATAATTTAAAAGTTAGTACATCTCATTTAATTTATAAGGAGTTTAAGGTACGAAAGATATAGAATGTCAGCAAACATGGTAATAGACTTATTAGGAGTTGAACTCAGTGGAACATACAGACAAAACTGTATGACCAGGAGTTAGCACATTTAAAAAGATACTCATAGCTCTGTGCATAGTTGGAAAATGTCAAATCCCAGTGATTAAATTTACACATTTATATAATGATTTATAGCTTAAAGTGTAAATTTCTAAATTACCACTATGACTACGCATATATTGGTTAAACATGCATAATGTGAAAATCCAAAATTGAAAATGCTCCAAAATCCAAAATTTTTGGAACATCGACATGACACTTAACAAGTTTTGGTTTTTGACACATTTTTTATTTTGAATTTATGTATTTATTATGAATTTATTATGAATTTATGTATTAGGGATGGTCAACTGGCAAACTCAATCCAAGTATCCACAAATCTCACTTAAATTTCTTTCTTTTTTGAATTTTTTATTGTTTTTAAGTAGTTGTACAAAGGAGTTGCCATTCACCAAATTCATCTTGATCAGTGTTAGCCCTTTCAACATTGTGACCCAACTCTCCCAACCTACCTCTTCCCTCACTTAGGTTGTATATTTAATTTTTTTGCCTTTTAGCAACGTGGTTCATGTGTGCAATGTATTTTGATCTGTGTCATCAGTTCAATAGCTTCACCCCCTTTTGACCCACCCCCTATACATTTCTCAGTTCTGTGGTATATACAGTGAATTCTTGCCCGTTTTCTCCCCTTCTCCCTGCTTAATTCTTCTGCTCCTCTTCCCTTGGTTCCATCCTCCCCTTTTGCAAATACCCATTTCTGGGTACTTATTTTGTTGGGCTCTGACTTAGTCTTCTTAAAGAATTACACTATTTGCACTCTCCATAGTTTTTGTTTTTTTTTTCGGTTGGGGGGTTTGAACTCTGGGCTTGGGTGCTGTCCCTGCACTCTTCAGCTCAAGGTGAGTACTCTACTGCTTGAGCCAGAGCGCCACTTCGGATTTTCTAGTGTTTTTTTTTTTTAATTGGAGATAAGAGTCTCATGGAGTTTCCTGCCAAGGGCTGGCTTTGAACCATGATCCTCAGATTTCAGCCTCCTGAGTAACTAGGATTACAGGCTTGAGCCACCAGCACCTGGCTCTCCATAGTTATTATACTTCAGTAAATTCATTTGTATTCACTTGCTTACCACCTAGTGTGTTTATTTGTAGAGTTATAAGCAATATCAAGAAAACTGACAATATCACTTGTTGGTGTAAAAACTGGAAAGGAACTCTATTACTCTGTTAGTGAGAAAGGAAGCTTTTTCAACCACTCCAGAGCAATATGGAGGGTCCTAATAAAAACTAAACATAGAGATATCCACCCTATGAACTGACAATTCCACTCCTAGGCATTTGTCCAACAGAGCACAAACAAGACCACACTAAAGCTACTAGCACAACCATATTCAAACCATATTCACTGAAGCATTATTCATCATAGACAAAGTATGGAATCATCTCAGATGTCCCTCAATGGATGAATGGATCAAGAAAATGTGGTATATATACACAATGGAATTCTATTTACTCATCAGAAAGAATGATATTGTACCATTCATAAAGAAATGGAAAGACTTGGAAAAAATTACAGTAAGTAAAGTCAGACCCAGAGAAACAGATTGCATGTTTCCCTTTTTGTGGTAACTAGAATGTACCTAAAAATCTCAAAAATCTCAAACAGGGTTACTTACCCTGCACTTATCAATCCATTTTTATCAATCCACAAAATTCTTATGAGGTGGATGCTAATATCCCATTTTATAGAAGAGGACAGAAATGGATGGGGAAGATGTTGGAAGGAATCTTCCTACAATTATGATGGAACTCACTCTAGAATCCCTACACAAATTTCATGTACTTTCCAATATATGACTGAGAAAAATGAAGTCCAATACAAAAAAGTTATGGATACTAACTATGTGCTAAATAAATTGTTCTTTTTCATGGTAAATACTGAGAAAATTGAGAAAAGATTTTCTGCAAATCAGAAAAACTTCAAGAGAAAGAGAAATGAGAAGGGTAAGAAATAATAGTTGTGATGCTGGGGACTAGTATCTGGTGCTTGTAATTCTAGCTGCCCAGGGAACTGAGATTTAAAAGTTGCATTTTGAAGTCAGCCTGTGCAGAAAATTCCATGAGGCTCTTATCTCTAACAAAAAAATTAAAAGTGGAGCTTTGGTTCTAGTTGCAGTGTGAGACTTCATCAAAAAGCTAAGCAAAAGTATGAGGCCTGGAGTGTGAATTCCAACACTAGCATTATTTAAAAAAATGGATGGTTGTCATTTAAAAAATAATTTGGGATCTGTGCGGGTATCTCATACCTGTAATCCTAGCTACTCAGAAGGCTGAGAAATGAGGATCACATTTTGAAGCTGGAAGCTTCCATGGAAGTGGAGTTATGGCTCAAAAAGCTAAGGGACAGAACCCAGATCCTGAGTTTAAACTCAGATACACACACAGACACACACAGACACACACACAGACACACACAGACACACACACACACACACACACACACACACACACACACACGTAACTTGATCTGTTTTATACCTTTAATCCTAGTGACTCAGGAAACTATGACCAGGAGGATCTAGGTTTGAAGTCAATCAGAGCAGAAAAGTACTAGAGATGCCATCTTCAATTAATTAGAATGAATGCTGTGTGGCTTGTGTGATAGAGCACTAGCCATGAGTGAGAATGTTAGGCCCCTTGAGCTCAAATCCCTATACTGGCACACATACACAGAAAAGAATGAAAAATAATAACTTGCCTATATTTTTCTAGTAATAGCCATAGAATGACTACCCATAAAAGGCTATTAGAATCAACTGATTTCAAATAATTGTTGGAAATCAATAAAATTAAATATTAAACTTAATTTTCTAACAGTTTATTTTCGAAAAAATAAAGAAACCTGTATTGAAGAAAAAAAATTGCCTTTACTCTGAAAATTTGCTCAAAAAATCCTTCAGAACTAACATAGATAGAATACTGAATTCAATTAAGGCTCTCTGCAGATTTTATAATTTGCTAAAATACTAAGTGTTAACTAACATTAATTTGAATTAGTGAAAGTAACAGTTACATACGTTCTTTTGACATCTTGTTCAATCATTGATCGAAGCTCTTTATCTTGGAAGAATTTGTTCCAAAGACTCTGAAATAAGAACAATCTAATTTACAAGTCACATACCTTTGCTTGACTGGTATGATTTCAATTTAATAATTTAAGTGATTAAATTAATTCTTCTCTAAGTTATCTGTTCATGTTCTTGCATAGGAAATTTAAGATTGTAATAGTAGTTCAAATTTAGTATAACACCAAAATATACTCTTTAACACCAATTTTTCCAGTCTGCTTTTTTTTTTTTGGTTGGCCATGGGGCTTGAACTCAGGGCCTGGGTGCTGTCCCTGAGCTCTTTTGTTCAAGGCTAGCACTCCACCAGTTTGAGCCACAGTGGTTAGTTAATTGGTTAAGAGTGGTTAATTAGATAAGAGTGACATTGCTTTGAACCACAATCCTCAGATCTCAGCCTACTGAGTAGCTAGGATTATAGGCATAAGGCACTAGTACCCAGCTTCCAGTCAGGCATTATTTTATGTTTTAAAATTATATCTTATCTCTATAAAGTGAATGCTGAATACCTGCTGCTACTTCATGTACCAACAGCAAAAAGGTATTTGGATAAAGCAGAGCCCACCAACAAAATGGTCCCAATTAGAACCTGACTTGAATTCTCAATGCAGTAAAATGTTTTCTACAAAGCTTGGTTTTACAGCCTTATAAGTTGTTGTATAAAGTTAAAATGTAGACTTTGGGAAAGTTTTAAAAATTAATAACTTATGTTGCTACACCAAATATCACATTATGTACTAATTATGTATATCAGGAAAAGTAATGCTAATATCATGTATTACATGAGATTAAAAAATTCTCAGATAGCTGGATGCTGGTGGCTCATGCCTGTAATCCTAACTACAGAAGAGACTGAGATCTGAGAATCATGGTTCAAAGCCAGCCCAGGCATGAAGTCAGTGAGACTCTTATCTCCAATAAACCACTCAGAAAACTGGAAGTGGCACTGTGACTCAAGTGGTAGAGCACTAGCCTTGAGCTGAAGAGCTGAGGGAAAGCACCCAGGCCCAGAGTTCAAGCCCCACGACTGAAAAATAAATAAATAAATAAATATTCTCAGATAAAAGGACAGGAATTAGAGTAGCAGCAACTGAAAAATTATCCTGATTCTTCACTCATCTTCTAAAAGCATTTTTTTACAGACTTCTACAGCTACTTCTTTCTTCCTGGAAGTTAGTCCAGCCAAATGGTACCATCACTCTTGGTGGTCATATAAGAAGCCTTTTCTGAGCCATTCCATTCTTCATCTTGCTAGGGCAGCCTTAGTCTTATCTCTATACTCTTTTTTTAACTCTCGGTGCTTGTAGACCCAAGAACTTCTCTGTAGTAACACTCTACAGCAACAAATTATAAACTCCCCATAATGCAATATGTGTATGGCACAGAATCATTTCTATCAGCTTCTAGTTGTAAAAAAATATTTGGCTTAAAATAAACTGCTTTCATGGTAAGTTTCTACCAGTCATATAGAATGTTCTTATAAGTAAACCAATCACATAGCATGTTCTTATGAGATAAAGGTAAACTTTACTCCTTCATCCTGTGAAAGGGGATTGTTGATCATCAAATCTTGCTGGCCAACAACCTTCCTTGGGTTTGTGATATGCTAGTAAAAAAAGAAAACATAAACATGGGTGAGACTATTGGACTTAAAAGTACGTAAGAAAGTAATTAAATAAATTATACATATTATTTACTTACTATTTCCTTAATACTGCTATACCAGGCTCTCAATTCTTTAATTCTACTTATCCATTGACTTTTATCTTGAGGAAGAACACAAAGAAATAGCTATGAAGAAAAAAGGGAGAAAAATTTTATAAAACCTCTAATATGCAAAGTGAAACTAGGTCAAACAGATGTATCTGAAAATGGAAGAAGCACCCATTCATGGTATTTCACAATCATATCATTATTCCAATTACTACTAATATATATTTGGAAATATTTGGGGATATTTAGGAAATACTTAATTAGAAATTCAAACCGAGTAATTAAAGGTCAAAAAATATGATTTCAAAAGATACACCTCAAAATGGAATCTTTTCCCTCCAGATTTATATTAAAATTGAAGCAAAAATCATTCAAGTATATTTCTCATTTTACATTCTAATCTAACTGGGAGTGGTAGAATTATTAAAAAAATGAAAGATCTAGTTAGCAATTTCTATGTTTCAAGTTTTCCTTAAAAGAAAACAGAAGAGCAGTCTGAAGATTTGAGGACATTGAGTAAGAAGCAACATTACTCCTTTTAGAACCAAAAAAAAATGTAATTTATTACTGGCAACCAGCTTGTGAAAATAAGCATCCTTTAAAAGATAAATTTAATTTTGGTTACTATTAAAATAAATCAGGACTTAGGTTTGTTTTTAGGAAATTAAGCATACTAAAAGTTAAGGAACATGGAATGAGGTTGAGCACAAATATCTTTATACAAATTTTCTAGCAGCCTACAGGAGAAAAATGAATTTTAATTATTAAAGCTACCTTATTAAAGCTAAAATTGTCTAATGTGACATGAATATCTTGATTTGTACAGAGTTTAGTGTATTTGATTTATGAATACAGCACTAGAAACTTTTGATAAAATTCATAGTAAAAATAAGTCTAAGCCTGAATTTATTTTTGGAGAATTTTTTTTCAGAGCAATTAAAAAGCTAACTGCAGCTTATTATTAGCTTTTATAACCAATGACCTTTTCCTGCTGAAAGAGATGGACTCAATTTCCTCCCAATTCTTGGTGCCCTCACTTTGTACTAGAAAAAAAAATGTGAAAAATATTTTCTGGTCTTTGTTGACAAAGAAAAAGGAGGATGACTAAATGATTTCACATGATACATGAACTTGAAAGATACCACCTCCGCCACTCCAACTATCCAAATTCAAGAATTTCTGTAAATGCCTGTAGGTAATGTAATGGTTTTGCTCTGGCACCATTAAAAGAAACAAAATGACAACTGATTCCTTTAACATCCATAGTTATTCAGGACTAACAGGGCTAACCTTCATTAGTAAATGTTTTAAGAAAGACAAACATGGATGGCCAAAGTGAAGCCTCTTAGAAGACTCAGTGATCCCTGAATGGATAATCTTCCAAGGTATCAGTTTAGTATATTGATATATTACAATCACAAACTATAAATAAATATTTTCTTCTTACCTTCCAGCAAATGCTGCGGAACCTGCTGCTTCTCAGCTGCCCATTAATGCCTTTCTGCCTTATTGTTGCCAAATAATTGTTGTTTACAAATAGTTCTTCCCATTCCTTCCTATATGAAAGAAATCAAAGCATGGAAACCCTTTTGTTAAATTCTTCTGCTTGGAGTGAAGTGGAACAGGAAGTTAATTTCAAATACATGCATGAAATGTAACTTTTAAAATGTATATTTAGTTGTGTTCTGTTCCTGAATGTGTTGCTTTCTTTTTTGGACAGTTCTTCTGTAGATATAATGAATATGTAGATAGCTATAATTATGCCAGCTACTGAAATACATAACGTCTATAAGGCTATTCCATTTTCTCTAAATGTTGGTTATGTAGTTCAGTGGATAAACAAAAAAAACACAACAAATTAATATACATGTATGACTGAGTTATACATTGACAAACATACCTACTCCAAAAATATACAATAAAATAGTGTCCTGTTGGTTATATTGGCTTTTCACATGAAATATTTGTTTGAATTACCCTGTTTCTTTTTAATGTTATGCTGGACAGTTTAGTTTAGGAGACTACTTTTAGTAGTACTTACTATGAAATCTTTTTGACTTCTTTCTACATGATTGGTTTTAAAATTTTAACAGGTGCAGGCAAATTTGAAGAAAACATCAAAAAATTAAAAAGCCTCACTGTAAAAACTGTTAAAGGCAAGCTTCAGTACCTTGCAGTACCTATGGCTGAGTAGATAAACACTGAAATATGCCTCCCAGGCATGCAGACACTAGGGGCCTAACACCTGTGCCTCATTAATATACAAGTAAATCTGTTCTGCTGGGAAACAATTGGAAATTAATTGTCCCAAACCATTTACTGAGTTTGAATAAAGGAAATAGACCTATATTCCCAGCATCTTGCACCAAACTAAACATTAAGAGTCATTTGTCAACAGTTGAGGATACCAAGATCAGCTTCATAAAATTACCTTCAAATTCCATAATACCACAATAAAACTGACTTATGATATAAAGTTTATTATCAGAGCAGAACCCCAGAGGCCACATCTTAAAGAAGAGTTCTTAAAAAGAAACCCACTACAATCCCGCCCCAAATAGTTGTCACTAGTCAGATCTCATTTACTTATTTTGAAAAAGATCTTGAATACTATGTTTATAGCCATGAATGTAGCCTACTGTACACTTGAAAAGTTAAAAAACCAAAGGGCAAGATGTACCTTCCTCCATGGAGTTCCAGAGGAATGCTGGGAAGACAATGACACATTCTCTATAGCTACCAGAAGAACAGCTATTCTTAGCACAGATCCACAATTAACTAATGCTTCTTTTAAAAGAGACGTGATAAACATGCCAAATCACACACATGTTCTAGTGCCTGAAAAAATACATTTTCACAAGCTGGGTACCAGTTGCTCATCCCTATAATACTACTAAGAAACCTGGACTGGAGTTTGAAGCACAGGCAGCAAAGTCCTTGAGATTCTTATCTCCAATTAACCACCAGAAAACAGGAAGTGGTGCTGTAGCTCAAAGTGGTAGAGTGTTAGCCTTGTGTGAAAAAGCTCAGGGCCAGTAACCAGGCCTTAAGTTCAAGTCCCATGACCAACCAAAAAAAACAACACACAAACACACACACACACATACACATACATACACAAAAGGGAAATATATTTCACCACCATTCCTCAACATATTCTTAACTACATCACTATTATTTTAATATGCATTTGTTATACTGGAGAAACAATTTTTTGAGATTTTTAGCTCTTCTTATTAAAACTTCCTTTCTTGTCTTTTTCCCATTTTAAGCAGTGTAGGGTAGTGGTTCAGAGTATTGGTAGGAAAGCCACATTCTAAGATCAAATGCCATCCATGTAAGTCAGAAACCGTATCAATCTTACAGATACTGCTCATGCCAACATGAATGAGTTACTTAACCTTCTGTGTCTTAGTCTTCTATTTTGTGAAAAGGCATAATTTCACAAATAATTGTTCATCTATTTCAAAGAATTATGAGGACTTACGAAGCTCAGTGCTTGACTACCTAGCCCAGGGCCTTGGACTAAATAACCCTCCCCAGAACTAACTGTGGATGAGTGGGAGGGGGCAGGCATTGTTATGAAGATTAAGAGAATATACCAAAAACCTCCCAGAAGATTACACAGCACATAAGATTTAAAAATAGTCAAATTTTATTAATAGAATTTCAATATTGCTTTTATTTTAGATGCTTTATTATTGACCCAAGAGAAGAGTTTTCACATTAAATATCATACTTTTGTCAGCCATACAAATTAGCTCAATTTTCCAACACAATGAAGCTTTTTAATTTGTGCTTAATTTAGATCAAGTATTATTTCCTTCTGGTGCTATTTCTATTGTTTTCCTGCCAGTTATTCTCGGTCATGTCAAGATCAAAGAAATATTCAATGAAAAGTTGTTTGATTTTTTTTACTCTTTTAACATATTTGTATTAACTATAATAATAAAAAATTTCCATCTCTAGTTTCACACATATACTAATACCTCATATTTGATTTATGCAATTTTAAGTAATGTTCAAAGCTAAGATAAGCAGTACACTAGAAGAATACCTCAGAAAAGTCACTTATGTTTAATTGGCTTGTGATCTGTGAGCAAAAAGCACAGCTTTCAATATATTTTAAACCCAAAAGGACCTATCATTCTGTAAGAAAGCAGGCCCCAAAATATCAGTAATTCTAGTATTGAATGATTAACCTCTCTAGTTTCTTATCAAATCAACTCCTTTTCAAAGATACCAAGAAACTATACAAAGTACAAGTAAACCTGGTGGCTAGACTCACCACTATCCTGCCAAGTCAAGCTGGTTTGTAAGGTCATGTTACAAGCGATCCTACATGCTTACATAAGGATTATTTATTAGCTTAAATAAAACTCTGTACCTTGATTATGGTGTTGGTATAGAGAAAAGGAGAGCATGTCATATGAATTAGAAAAAGTATCTCTAAAATTTACAATCATTTGAATTTATTCATGGGTACTTACAGTTCTGATTAAGGCATAACATCTCAAACTGATGAAAGCTCTAACAGACATCACAAAGACGACATTTGTTTTCCTTCTCTTCTATGGAATAGTTTTTATCAATATATTATAAATGAGAAAACATTAAATTACTCTAAAATAACAAGGAAGACAAGTAACATTAAAGGGACACATGATACTCCTGAGAGACCAAGGCAAAAATGTTCTCTCACAGGACAAAGAAGTGTCCTTATGTTTCCTTGTTTTCAGTTTTTCAATATCAAGTCTAAGGATGTAAGTTTTCAACAGTCCGAATAAGAAGATAAGTTAACAACGGCTCCTGTGATCAATTAAAGACAATCTGGTATATTTAGTTAGATATGTGAAATCATTAAATGGAATAAATTACAAACCCAGGTCAAATGGGACTCCCTTTGAAAGGTACTAGTGACATCTAGTGACAACTTCTGTACCTTGCAGGCACTGGGTCCCTGAAAACAATCAGCAGCTAATAAGCAGGCAGAAGAGATAGGTTTCATATCTCATGCCAGGCTAATGGATTAGAAGTCTTTGCCATGGAATACTTCAATGAGTGTTGTGTTGAAAACTACTTTGCACTTGACCTTGTGTTTCTCTGAAAAGAATACTATGATGGATTAAAAACAGCCATGAGGTTAGTAATCATTTTTAAAAAATGAAATCAATTTTTTTTAGCAACAATTGAAGTCCTCTATCTAATAACTATTTATGTACTCTCCCGGAATGGCATTTTATTTTTGACATGGGAATAAATTTCAATATGCAGTGAATAAATACAGCATGATTATAACGAAGTATCTATTTCCAATTACACCTAATGTTATATTTTCCTAAATATAATATAAAATTGATATGAAACAATTTGGTAATTTCTAAATTTAATTGTTTAAGTACTTTTATAACTTAAATGATACATGAAAGATTAAATTATGTATTTAAGACTAAAAATTAGAATCATTCACACAAATTGTGAAATCATGTAAAAAAATTGTATGTTTTATATGATGGTTTCTACACCAGTTGGGGTATCATTTGGGCAGGGAATAAAACCTGTATGGGGACTGTAATTTGAGAAACCCCAACTACAATAAGGGAGAAGTGTTCTGAGTGTATCTAGTCTAGTGCTGATGACCTCCAATACTTCTTTACAGTGAGGTGCTTTGGCTTCTGCTGATAAATTGCTGAGGGTATTTGAAAAGGCCCATCTCCACAGAGAAGCTGAAACCAGAGAGTAGAAGAAGGAAGAGAAGTAGGGGGACCAACTTTGGCTTCTGGGAAGTGTCATAACAGACAAGGTAACCATCACCATCTTAAGGTCTGACTAGGAAGAAAAGGCTTTGGGAAGCTTATTATGTATGCTAGCATAATCCCAGCATGCCAAAGGTTGAAATAGGAGGATTTAGAGTTCTAGGCCAGTAAAGATACATTGTAAGACCCTGTCTCAATCCTGACTATCCTAAAGGGCAGAGGGAACAGAAAATGACCTCTGAGAAGGATTAGATCACAATTAGATAGAACAAAGGAAGACAGTTGAATTGATATAAAAAGTTTTACATAATTTTATAATCCTAAAGTACATTATATCTGAAAAACTTCCATATTATTTATAATCACATATTATTTTACCAAATGAAAAGGGTGATCAAGAAAATTTTTAATTTGCTTCTAACCTATATAGATTATGTATTAGTGAAAGATTTCTAGCAGTAAAAGGACTGTGCACCATAAACCTTGGTAGTATAATTTTAAAAGGAAGATTTCAAAAATACTATTCACATAGAGAACAAGGAACATCTAACTTGAAATCAATGGAAATATGAGAAGTGTAAATTAGACATGTCAGCCTCAGATTGTAAAGTGTGGCACCAGATATGGGTAAGCTACAACGTTAGGACTGCAGGTGCCAAGAACAACTAGATAAACACTGATGTTATCTATAATTACCTCATTTTTAGCTTAAATCACGGGTAATGAGGAACTCAGAGTCTCTAAAAGGCAATTAGAAATTGTACTGGCTTTTTTGCTTCCTCTATCAGGAATTTTTTAAA